ACTGGAGAAAAATGATATTATTTAAACCAAATTAAAAAAGAAGTTTCTGGCACTTCTGAAAAGATTTCAAATGTAATTTTTGGCTCCCAACCAGACATTTATACCATTGAAAATGCAATGCCCAACAATTCTTTCATTGGAAGTCCCATATCAAATGTTACAGATAACAATCTATTTAGTGAGAATGAGGAAGATGATAATGAAAGCGATTGGGATGGTGTTACAGGTTCGTTGATGACAAGTAAAAAAATATCTTAGACTACGCTTGAAGTGGATGAATTAAAAAAAAATTTCAAAATCGATTCTACAAGTTCATTTAGCTAATCTAACATACGAATGATGATTTCAGGAAATGATAATTTAAAAAACCGCAATGCCAAACAAGTTTACAACAAGTTAAGCCATCTTCAAAAAATTGCATTGAAAGGAGATTTACAAGAACTTAATGAAAAAGAGTGCATGACAAAAAAAGTTGTTTTTCCAACAAAGTATACTAACTTAATCAGGGAAATTTTTTTTTTTAAGTTGATGATCGCTAATAAATTTGTTTAAAAGGTCCATGACGCTTATCTTAACTTTATTTATAACTCGAGAAAGATTTTATTATAACTTTAAAAAGTGAGAGATATCATAAAGAAATTACTTCTAAACTGCTCTCTTTACAATTTTATTTAAGTAAGATCAAAGGAAATGCTTCTAATTTTACGTTAGTGTATTTTTTTGTTAAAATAGCGCCGTATAAATAATAGCGTATGAGTTATAATGCTTTATTTGAATTAATTGTAAATATAGATTTAAGTATAAAAAAAAATTTACACTGTAACGAGTCTCTCTTACAGGCTGATCAGCTTCTATTTGAAGCTGATTTCTAAAAATCAATTGGCCGCAAAACCTTGTTTAAATATAGGAGAGAGTTACCTTAATTGGAATACTTTAGGAATAAATATCTATTAACCAAAGATGGCCTAACTATGAAAACATTTATGATTTGATTAATACAAACAGACAACCCTACTACACTTTTAACCATAACTTGACTTGTACTAACAAAAAATTGATCAAGCAGATTACTTCAAATTTTCAGGAGTTATTCAAAATACCTAAATGAAGGGAATGAATGTGAAAAATTTTAAAAAATGCATTGATTTTTGCCTTTTTAGTGTTTTGACCTAGCTCTACCACCTGAAAGTATTGCAAAGAGCAAAAAATCTTAAATAAAAAGGCTAAATGTTGTTTGTTTCCAGAGATTTTAATTCATTACCTTTATTTCATGGGTTGACAGACAATTGCTAAGTTTCAAAACTTAAACATTGTTATAACTTAAAAAATCGTGTTGCAAGTGTAGGTATTAAATGCTTTATTTTCACGTAATTTCGACAATTTTCTGCTTTTTTATGAAAGATCCACATATTAAGCGATATTTACGTTGTAAGAATTATATTTAATTATTTGAAACAAATGGAGGTTTTTAAAGTTTTGTTACAGTTCTGAAATTTTTTTTTTTGTGGTTATTCTGTTATCCGAAAATCTCTGCCAAAGGATGAAAGATTCTACATAAAGTAACATTGTTTAAAAGCAGTGATGTCCCACGGATTTAAGTGGAATTCTTGTGGTAAGCACGGAGGCAAAAAAAAGTACATTGTTTCCACAATACTCGCATATTAAATAATTCCTAATATAATTTGCAATATAATGAGATTTAATTTTCTACCATATGTGCGTATTAAATGGCATTTTGATAATGTGGTTATCAACTCTAAGCAATCGCAGAGTATTTACTGAGGAATGAATAAACAAACAACAAAAAAAGAAAACTGATTAAAAAGATTTATTGCATCATGCCAAAGTGCTCAAATTACTAGTAGCGGTCCAGCATAACGCAAACAGCAATCATACACCCTATAAAGAGAGGGATCAACAAAACAAAAGGATAAGTTGTTACATTTAACATTAGACAATATTGTTTTGTCCTTAAGAACTTATCAGTAATATTCTGATTTTATGGGACCAAATCATAGCACTAAAACAAGGAAACTGATTTAAAGCAGTTAAAAAAATTTTTGTATCATGCCAATGTGCTCCAACTAAATAGTAGTGGGCCAGAGTAACGCAAAAAACATTGACAATGTGCCCATCGGAAAAGGGGGGCATCTAGGTTAAGGGGGTATATATGATAAATTAATATATGAAAACAATATAGCCACATCAAAACTAATTTCTAAATATTGTCTTCTAGAATTAAAATAGCATAACTAGTTTTGGTTTTAAAATTTAACTAATTTAACCTCACAATAAATAGATTTTTAAAAATTTGTTCGGTAACGTAACCTTTTTATTCGGTAACTTCACATTCAAAGCTTTCATTGTCATTAAGTATATAAAAAAATTATTTAACTATAAAAACTAAACCATTTTCTGAGATTTCATATAAAATTAAATAAATCCCTACTAAAACAATCTCAACAATTAAAAAAAAAAACAATCTCATTATTAGAAGCAAAAAATGCATTTTTTCAAGATTTCAAGTAAATATTTCTTCAATATCTTTGTCAACCAGTTTAATTTAAAATTTTTTTATGATAATAGAAATACCCAAACTTGAGAATAGGGATTTTTAAAATTTATTGGGTGATGGAACCCTGAATTCGGTATCTAACATCTCCGAAAAAAAAAATTGGCTTCCCGCCACCCCTTTTATGAAAAAATGACTAAATCGGAATTGTAACCGAAAGTTTATGAAAACACCCCTGCAAAACAAAAACATAGTTTAAAAAATTTGAAATTGTTTAATTCTAAAAGTTTATGCGTAGAATAAATAAAAAAAACTCATATTAGATAAAAAAAATTATTTACGCACCGTGACTATACAAAAATGAAAGTGAAAAAATATTGTTGCAAAACCGAATTTAGATCCACATGGTGATGATAATGATGATGATGATGATGATGATGATGATGATGATGATGATGATGACGTTGAGGATAATGATGATGATAACAATGATGATGATGATGTCTTTACAAACAGTCACTGTGCAGAGAAACAAGTTGATTATATAATATATTGTATTATCAATCATTAAAGGGATCCCAAACTACCGACACATATTGTGCTCATATTAAAGATAATGTTAAAAAAAAAGGTTTGAACCATGTTTTTTTTATTAAAAATAAATAATGAATGCATACCGTGAAAAACAAATGTTGTTTTTGCCGAAGCTCGCCTTCTCCATTTTTTTCAATAAATCAGAGTCTTCAAATTATGCGTCGCAATCTACAGACTTAGGCAATTCCTTTGAAACGCGTTTAATTCATAAAAGTTTTAGTATTCAACGTCACCGTAGACTTTTAACAAAAGAAAAGTGTAATTAAACTAAGCTGCGTTTTTCTACTGTAGTATTTTTTTAATATACAGCAAAACAAATTTATTTGTATTATTTTTCTAAACATCGCAAAAAAAAATTTGTGAAAAGAAAAAATGATAAATTATTTTTATTTTATAGAAGCAACTTGTTTTTTACAGATATCTTAATAATTTTTTGATTTATATATCTTACTTATATTTCTTTTGTTTTTAAATTAAAACAAATATTAAAGCTATATTTTTTATTTTCTCGTCGAAAAAAAGTATTAACAATTAATTTCATAAACTGACAGTATTAATTAGAGATATATGATGAATTGTTAATTTTTTTTATTATAAAAATTTTTTGATTACGGTGATTTATTTTAAATTGCTAAATTTGTTAAACTGGATACGGATAAAAAGGAAATATCATTTTATTATACATTTGATTTTTGATAATGAAACTTAAAATGTCGGCAACTCCATACCAATTAGAACCTATTAAGGTTATGAAAAAAAATTCAAGAATACACTAAACAATACAGTTGACAGTAGTATCAGATATACAAATTTGTACAATTAATAACAACACAAGTCGGCATTATAAATTTTGAGTATTAGTTTACTGTTCAATATTTTATAACCATCAAATAAAAACATGAAGTTTGTATATTTTCACCCGTTTTATACAACTAATATTTAATAAAAATACGGACAAATTATTTTTATATAACGCAATAATTAACACATTATTTAATGGCAATAATTCAAGATAAATGGTAATTTAAATTGTCAAAATGTCATAATGTGCATTAAAAAACATATTATATTAGGTATTTCTCAATTTGTATTGTATTTGGCATTTGTCTCTTAACATGAAAAATTTTAAAACACAACAAATACAAATTTTCAAGCAATTTTCTCTTCCAAATTTCATTTATTCAAAGAAAAGTTACTATTAAACTTTTATTTCTCTCATCTAAAAAAAGAACGAGTGACGCAAAAATAAAAAAAAATAAAAAATTCTATACAACTCTTTTAATTCATTCGAAGTTTAATTACGCGAAACTTTTCTTTCTCTTTTGTTCTACTCTTATAAAAAGAGCAAGCGATGAAATAAAAACATTTCTTTCTTAACATAAATTTATACTTAGAGATAAAATTAAACCAGAAATAAAGCAACAATGAACAAAGCAACTAACAGATTAATCTTGGACTATTTTGATATTAATGAAAATAATTAACATAAACAACATTACCAACAGCAATTATCAAATAAACAACACAATATCGCATAATTTTAGGGGCTTTTTATTTATATTGCTTAGTTGTTCTAAATAATAAGTAAATTTAGTTCCAGTTAATATTTCAATATTTACAGTTGCAATATAATAAAGAAGTGATGTTTAATGTTGAACTTTTTATTTAATTATTTATTTTTTACCTACATTTTTTATAAAAAACTTTTAAACCCCCGTCATTAAAATAATTTGTTTTGAATATATTTCTAAATGATTATTCAAACAAATTTTTTTCGCTTGACTTCCCGAACTTCATGCAAAGCAAATTGAGACGAAATATTATCTAACCAAATAAAAATGCTTTTACTAATTTTATATGGGTAATTAATGTAAAACATTTTTTTATCTGAGTCTTGATTGAGATAATAAATATTCATATTTTATAAACATTAAATATATAGCGCAATAACAATTTATAGCAACAAATTAGCATAAATTATTAAAGGTTTTTAATATCTTTTTAAATATTAAAAGTAGAAAAAATAAATAAATAACCAAATAAATAAATAAATAAAAAAAAAAAAAATAACCAAATAAATAAAAAAATAAATAAATAACCAAAAAAACTTCGACTAAAAATAAATAAAAATATTTCCAGAGTTTTTTTTGTTAAAAGTCTAAGTGACGTCAAATACTAAAACTTTTATGAATTAAACACGCTTCAAAGGAATTACCAAAGTCTGTAGATTGCGACGCATAATTTAAAGACTCCGATTTATTGAAAAAAATGGAGAAGGTGAGCTTTGGCAAAATCAACAACATTTGTTTTTCACGGTAAGCATTCATTATTTATTTTTAATCAAAAAAACTTGGTTCAAACCTTTTTTTTAACAATATCTTTAATATGAACACAACATGTGTCAGGAGTTTGGGATCCCTTTAAAACTTAGTAAAATTTTGTTACTAATCAATCTACCATTATATTAAAGTAAAAAAAAAAAGATCACAGTAGACATTTAAAACACTTAAAAACTACTGAAATAATTAATAAAAACCAAGTTTAAATGTGTTTTATATGCTAGAAAAATTGATGAAAATTTAGTTTTTAGTTACTTTGGTGACAATTTGTTGTGAGTATACAAAAGTATATACTTATTTTTTTAAATGTTCATTCAAAAAAATATTGTTCAATAAAAAAAGTTTTTTTGAACATAGTAATCTTTTTAATGAGAATTTTTTAACTACTATTATTGCTGAAGTAAATTTAATCAGTTTAGAATATAACCAAATGACACTAGCTCGTTTGGTTGTATTCTAAATTCACAGCAAATGTCAATTGCTAATTTTGATAAAGCTTACAAATATATAATTATATATATATATATATATATATATATATATATATATATATATATATATATATATATATATATATATATATATATATATATATAATATATATATATATATATATATATATATATATATATATATGTATATATATATATATATATATATATATATATATATATATATATATATATATATATATATATATATATATATATATATATATATATATATATATATATATATATATATATATATATATATATATATATATATATATTGTAATCAACATAAGTTTTTTGTGATTAATTACAATTATGTCATAAGAGATATATCACTTTTTATAGATATTTATAATTTTTAAAAATTTGAAAGAGAAAAAAAAACCTTGTAAGCAATGTACCCCGGTTTTACCAAACTGGCATAAACATTTGAAGCCACCATTTATTGATATGCAGAAACCTCCATTACATGGATCATTTAGACAATAGTCTTTTAATTGGTCACAAAATCTACCAGTGAACTTGTCTATGCACGCACATCTAAATCCCAAAATATTACTTGCATCTACAAAACATGTTCCATTATTTAAACATGCATTCTTAAAACAAGGATACAAACATAACTGTAAATCAGGAATCTCTTCTTGTGATAAACTAATCGAATTTGTAGTTGTAAGTGATTGTTTTATTGACTCTGAAATAAATAAAGAAGCTTGTTTTAAATCTTTTAAAATATTAGTAGTTTGATCTACAATACTACTCATGCAACAAGAATGACTTTGAGAACCATTATAGAAGGAAGATTTACTTGAAAAACTTGCATTTGCTTGAATGGTTACCCTACCTAAACTGTCAAAATCTGGTTGTTCAGCATCTGTAATAGAATTTTCAAAGCTGTCAAAAATCAACGCTCTGTAGATTGTAGATTGCTTTAAGCTACTAGAAGGATTAATAGTTTCAAACGAGAGATTTAATGTCACAGAAGAACTGAAATGAAATTTTTTTGAAGCAAAAACTGAAGGCCATGATTGATACAAGTGTCCTGCAGTCAATGATGGAGTAGACATTAAATTTACTTGTGACCTATACAAAGTTAATGATGATAATAATGCTGTTGAGTGAAGCGCTTCAACAGTAGACCAAGTAACTATTTTAGGAAAGATGTTTTCAGATGTTACACCAAAAAGAGCACTTGATGATAATAGATTTAATGAATGAGAGCTATTAACAAGAGCAGGTTCAAGTAACGATGTTTTGCTTGTAACAAAACTAATATGCCTATCAACTGTTTTGCATTCCAACAGTTTTTTTAGATACTTTTGATAACATTGGCAATTAGAGCATGAACTGTTCAAATTTATATTGCTTCTGTTAAATTGATCAAAAGTTATGCTTTCATTTAAGATGACAACTGAAAATGAACTATTCCCTTTACAAAAAAGGTTATACTTTATTGCAACTTCATCTAGGAGACCTTTAATATCTTCAATGTTGTTATCTTTTAATCTTTTATCGAACGTGCAGTCATATTCAGAGTCAACATCTGATGCAATCTTGTTGTCTAAGTAGATACAAATATAAAAATAAGTATATATATATATATATATATATATATATATATATATATATATATATATATATATATATATATATATATATATATATATATATATACTTACATACATAAATACAAATAAAATCACCAAAATAAACATAGCTTTTTTATTTTTCAGATAATTAACAGCATAAAATTTGTCAAATTTAAAGAGATACTTTACTAAGCATCCTTCATTTAGCATTGAATATCTTGCAATGCACTATGGTTTCGAAACCATAGTGCAATGGTGCAAGGATAAAAGCAATCAGAGGAAGAGTTTGAAGTTTTTTTAAAAAACAATAAAAATTGAATTTTGAATTTATTTTGACAATAAAAATTGAATGTTGAATTCCTCGGTGAAACTATTTCACAATGCTAATATTAAAGTTTTATTGTTATTCAAATGATCATGTAAATCTGATCATGATAAACCTGATCATGTAAATCCATACACATATGGGTATTTGTTGTTTTGGTTATTGTTACTAATCTTAATTTGGGTTTGAGTTTTATCATTAGTTCAAATTAATTCATAATTTTGTCATTGACCAAAATTTGGCTCAGCTCGAGCTTGTTTCGAACATAAGATTCTTTGTTCCAGCTTGGCTCGTTAAAGATTAGTATTGTTTGGGCTCGGCTCGTTTTACATGTTGCTTGAGCTCGACTGGTTTAAAACTCAAAATAATTATTGTAATCTGTTAGTTTAAAGCTTGTTTAGTAAAAAAAAATTGTTTGTTAAAGGCTCGTCTGTAAATAAGTCCAAATCAACAAACAAGATAAACAACCCTACAGTCTATTAAACATGCAAATAAACAACTTAATGAAATAAGATCCCACATTTGTACACTCTTAAATCCATTAAAAATGGTCTAAAACATATTGGGCCTGTTGGCAAATGACAATAGTCATTAGCAGCCTCACGTAATTAAATTGTTTATATTAACCAATTATTTAGTGTAATAAGAGTTATATGAGTAGTATAACTGTTATTACTATATTAATAGTATATAATAAAAATATAGTGTTAGTGTAGCCATATGAGATATGACTCATATGGCTACACTAACACCATATTATTATTATATACTAATATATATAATGTCACAATTTTATTTATTACATATATATTATTATAATATAAATATATATATATATATTCGAGCTTTAATCGAGCCTATATGAACAAACCTATGATGTTCAAGCTCAGCTTGTTTAATAAACAAGCCTAATTTTTTGTTCAAGCCCGGCTCGTTTACCATTTGAGCCAAACATGAACGAGCTCTTGTCAAGCTGATCACCCAGCCGTTTATAAACACGAGCCAGGATTTACAGCCCTAGTTGAATTTCCTTTAAAAATTCAAGAAAATCACAATATCACAGTGATTCCTCACACAATCAGATATCAAAAATTACAGTACAAAGATATAGAGGATATACAAGGATATAGAGGTAGAGTAGTTTAAATAAATTAAAAAAAACTTCCTTGAATTATTTGCAAGGAAGTGTTGGGCATGGAGGAGGAAATGTAATGGTTTGGTGTAGAATGAGTTGGAAAAAAGTGTGAAAATTACGTTTATTGATGACATTTGCTAAATCTAGTTGATGCCATTAAGGCCACAGGAGACCCCAATATATATATATATATATATATGTATATATATATATGTATATATATATATATATATATATATATATATATATATATATATATATATATATATATATATATATATATATATATATATATATATATATATATATATATATGTATATATATATATGTATATTTATATATATATATATATATATATATATATATATATATATATATATATATATATATATATATATATATATATATATATATATATATATATATATATATATATATATATATATATATATATATATATATATATTAGGGTGGCCCTTAAAAAAATTTTTTGAGAAAAATCTGCTCCACCACCTAAATGTGTTTTATCTAATACAACACTAGGTTTAAAATTTTTTTGAATAAAAAATATTTTAAGGGGTCCCTCTTAACCTTCGAATATTTTTTTTTTTTAAAACAAAGATGACTATATCATATACACAATCAAATGAAGAGCTTGTAGCATAACATTAAAAAAATCTTCATAAATACCTAAAAAGATTTAACTTACCTCTGGACGGTTTATCTAAACTTAGAACTTATAAAAATCTATTTAAAATAAAAAATTTTCTTATAACTACTTTATAGCGAAAAATATCAAAGAGACAACAAATATAAAAATGCATGCTTTACTATTGCTTTGAAATATTGTAGTTAACAAAAGCATGTATGTAAAAGACACATGCAGTGTTTAAAATACCCATTGCATGAAAATAATTGGATGAAAAAAACTTGCTGCCTTTAACTTTCTAACTTTCCTGTTATTTAAACCATTTGTATAAACTTTCTACACAACCTTTTTTTTTTTTTTTTTTTTTTTGCACTAACATAAATTTTATACCAACCTTAAAACAATTCAACTTCTTTAAACAGTGTAATGTAGTTGAGTTTGGTACATGTCTAGTTCATTACAGTCTGCAATATGATTTATCTAAGTAAAGTAGCATCTCACAAATAAAAACATCAACAAACTTTAAAAAATAATAATAAAAGAAGCTGTAAAAGTAATTCTAAAATAAATATTTGTACTAATATGAAATAAACATCTCATTTAAGTCAAAAAAAAATAAACAAAGCATTTATATACACACACACACACACATATATATATATATATATATATATATATATATATATATATATATATATATATATATATATATATATATATATATATATATATATATATATTATATATATATATATATATATATATATATATATATATATATATATATATATATATATATATATATATATATATATATATATATATATATATATATATATATATATATATATATATATATATATATATATATATATATATATATATATATATATATAAATCTTTGATCAGAAATCTGTTTGAGTGACACCATCTTTATCAATCATTTAGTTATTACTATTAAATACTTACAATTCATTTACTCATTATTACATGTTTCACCATCAGATTTCTGATCAAAGGAGTGATACCAGTTTTTAAATATAATATGATTAATAAAAAGTCTACACACATAAAACATACTTAAACTAAGTAAACATTTAAAAATCATACTTTGATGATAATTTAAAAAAATAAACAAACAAGAAGTTAATGATAATAGTTGCTGTAATCATAATTGAAAAAAAATTAGAGTAGGGTAGTCCGGGGCTAATCCGAACGCGGGGCTAATCCGAACGTGGGGCTAATCCGAACGCGGGGCTAATCCAAACAGTTTATTCTTTCTCACTTATTTTATGTATTATTCAAAAATGAAGTATCAAGTTCTAATTAAACTTGTTTTATATAAAGTATACTCGTGGAATGACAATATATAATATTTATTCTTTCAAAAACACAACGGCTTTAGAAAATGTTTCCATTTTCCCATAATTGCTAAATTTAGTGTAGGTAGAGTACTTCCCTGGGATAGTAACAAGCCAGGTGACAACTTCTTACGAGGCTTTGAAAAAAGATGGGATTGTGGAATATCTAAAAGAACTCCAGAAATTTTAACAATTTCAAGAACTAAATTTTTTTCTGTGAAAAACATAACAAATTTTTTTGAAATCGTTAAAAGAGTTTATGATAAGTATGATTTACATAATAATCCTGACCAATGTTATAATCTGGATGAGTCCGGATTTTCTACCAGTGAAGGAAATAAACATTGTTTTTTCAGACGCGGTATACATTTCACACCAAAATTAAATACTTCTTGTGGCAAAACTATGTTCTCGCTATAAATTTGTAGAAACGCTACTGGTTTTCTTATGTCACCTCTTGTAGTTTATAAAGGCAAACTTCTCCACAACACTTGGTGTATGGGGGGACCTCATGAAGCCCAATATGCTGTATCTAAGTCAGGGTGGATGGAAGCGTGTCTTTGAAAATTGGTTTATCAAGTTAAGTCTCCTAGTAAGACCTTTTCAGCATAAATTTTTGTTTATTATTTTACCCTTTCAATGTGTAGATATGTTAAATTTTACTTATATTTTCTTTCTTAATATTTAAGGTCTTTATTCCTTACAAAATTAGTCAACATGGAAAAGATGTGTATATAGCATTATTTATGGATGGTCATGGCACCCACCTTACATATATTCTGGCATTAGAGGCAAAATCCAACAATGTAAGCAGTTTTATCTTAAAATTAACAATAATTTCCTAATTTTGTTTTATTTAAGCTTTCATTGATAACTTTCTGTAATTTAGATTGCCCTCATTTGCCTTCTTCCAAACAGCAGTTACGCTTTACAATCTTTAGACGTTGTTTCTTAGAGAGACATTTTGCTCAATTTCTTCCAAGAATCTCGCCATATGTTGGTCGACAAAGCTATTTTTCCAACTTTACTGTGACTAACTTGGCTGAAAATAATTAGAAAAAATTTAGAATCTGGTTTATAGCCTCAGGTCTATATCCGTTAGATCCATCAAAAGCTGCCAAAAAGTGCTGTTGACGGCAGAGAATACAAAAGATAATGACTCTCCTCATCGTGATTTTCAAGCTGCTATTTTAAAAGTGTTGTCGCAAACTCCATCCAAAGACACTTTAACAGCTATAAACAATAAAAGAAAAGGAAGAAAACAAGTGCAAGCAGAATGTGACAAAATTCTCACTGAAATGCCTTAAATCGGAGAAAAGAAAAAGAAGCGGCTTCAAAAAATAAAAATAAAAAACTTGCTCAAAATAAAAGGCAAATTTAAAGTATACGTTATTTAAGAAAAAGAAAATATCAGCATTTTATGCATAATTTTATCCTTGAATATTTCTTCAGATTTCTTCTTTAAAAAAACAATATTAAAAAGCGTTTTTTGCGCACATCG